ATAATATTATACTATGTGAGAGTAGAGAAAATATATCCATAATTCTTACATATATTTTCAAAGACACAAATAAAAATAAAAGGTTTGGGAAAATCTTCACTTTAGTTGAGAGAAATTTGATCTTCAATAAAGTTATTGATCTTTTCATTTGTGTTCCTCCATTGCATTGGTTCATCTTTGACTTATGATCTCTTTGAAAACACTCTTAGAATTTAGAGTTATATGTTAACTAACGTAAATAATGTTTTACGTCATTTAGTGTTTTACATTACATGTGCGTGTGATTGTAAGAGAGAATATGATACACCACCCTATCTATCATTAGTGTCTGTGATCACCATAGTTTTAAAAACCGGACCGGACCGGCCAGTTCGGACCGGGAACCGGTGAACCGGACGCCGAGCCGGTCCGGTCCAAGCAATTAGACTGATGGGGTGGACGAGGCATCTAGAGACCATCTCGGCTACCATGCTTTGTGTTTACTTTCTACGATTCGCTTAATATATTCTATATTTAGGTTTTTTTTATCAAATACTTTTTAAGTATATATAGTTTTTTTTTACTAAAATTCAAACCCATTGATGTAATTTATATGAAGTGCATATCACACAAATATTTTATATATATTTATTTAAATTATAGGTAAAAGTTTTAAAAAAATTCAAATTACTTTTTATTTATAAGTTTTTTAAATAAGTAAATTTTATTTTTTATTTAAAGACACAACTCAAGTAAATTAAGTTAAATTATAAATCAATTCTTTTATTTATAAAAAGAGAAAATGTTATTTTATTTACTTATATATATATATATATATATATATATATATATATATATTAAAAATGTTTGAACCACTGGTTCAACCACTCGAACCACTGGTTCGACCAGTGAACCAGTGCCTTGACCGGTTCGATCACCGGTTCGGTTCTGAAAACTATGGTGATCACTGCTATAGATTTTGGGTAGCGTATTTTGCTTGTACATGCATGTTTTATTAGGTAACCCTTAACACTATCAAGACGTGTCAAGGCGGCAATTTAAAATAGTGAATGGTCATTTGGAAATTGACGCATAAAATGGTGTTTTTTGTGTTTTAAGTTGTTCAAAAGTTTTTATAAGCTATTTTTGATTTATAAGCCAGTTGATCACATGTTTTTCTCGATACTTATATGCTGACTTTTAAGTTGTTTATGAGAAAAAAAGTAAGTAGATTTTACCTACTTATTTTTAATCTAGTTTTTTCATTTCTCCATTTTAACCAAATCATTTACAAAATTATTTTTCACCTATCATAAATATCCCAAAGTAATTTATATATCATTTAAGTTATTTTATCTTTATGCATTTTTTAAAATTTATAAACAACTTATAAATTAAAAGTTATTTATCAATAAAAAACGAAATAAAGAAATATACCTCCTCTGTCCTTAAAAGATTACCACAGTTTGACTATTCTTTGACTATGAATTAAATATAGTTTAAAATAATTAAATATTATGAAAATTTGATATTTTAAAACTGTATTTTAAAATAAACTTTATTTTTGAAAATTTAGATTATAACTTGATATACTTTATCAATAATTCACGGTCAAAAGTATTATAATTTGACAAAAAAAAATAAATTGTGGCAATGTTTTAAGGACGGAAAAAGTACAAAATAAAAAAACTAATTGAAAGCAAAAATTGCAATTCCTCCACAATAGAGGCACAAATATCTGTTTTACCGTTTCTCCGGGGCGAAGGGAGTCGTCAGATCCAAAATCCACCAAACACCATTGCTGTGCCTAGATCTCAAACCAATCCTGGCCGTTCATTTCAACCTTCAAACCTATTTATATCACTCATCCCTTCCGTTCATTCCCTGCACACTCTCTCGCTAACTCACAGAAGAGAGGTCCAGATCTACTTTCTCTCTCTCTCCATCCATATCTCCCTTTCTCTTCTCTGGCCATGGCTTTGCTCGTCGAGAAAACCACCTCCGGCCGCGAGTACAAGGTCAAGGACATGTCCCAGGCCGACTTTGGCCGGCTCGAGATCGAGCTTGCCGAGGTTGAAATGCCCGGCCTCATGGCCTGCCGCGCCGAGTTCGGGCCCTCGCAGCCCTTCAAGGGCGCCAGGATCACCGGCAGTCTGCACATGACCATCCAGACCGCCGTCCTGATCGAGACGCTCACCGCCCTCGGCGCCGAGGTCAGATGGTGCTCCTGCAACATCTTCTCCACGCAGGACCACGCCGCGGCGGCCATCGCCCGCGACAGCGCCGCCGTGTTCGCATGGAAGGGCGAGACCCTCCAGGAGTACTGGTGGTGCACGGAGAGGGCGCTCGACTGGGGCCCTGGCGGAGGCCCGGATCTCATTGTGGACGACGGTGGCGATGCGACCCTGTTGATCCACGAGGGGGTCAAGGCTGAGGAGCTCTACGCCCAAAACGGGACCCTGCCCGATCCAAGTTCCACCGACAATGCCGAGTTCCAGATCGTGCTCACGATCATCAGGGACGGGCTCAAGTCCGATCCCAAAAGGTACACGAAGATGAAGGAGAGGCTCGTCGGGGTGTCTGAGGAGACCACCACCGGCGTCAAGAGGCTTTACCAGATGCAGGAAAACGGAACTCTTCTATTCCCTGCCATTAATGTCAATGACTCTGTTACCAAGAGCAAGGTATTGATTCATTTCTTCCCATTCATTAATCTGCAGATCTCTTTCCGATCTACCCAGACCCCAATCATGCTTTAGTTCATTACATATATGACATAGATCTGATTTTATGTTCATTTCCCATGAGTATTTTAGACTTTATGATTTGATTTGCATAGTTTTTAGTTTGAATTGTCAGATGAATTATGCAGAAATTGTGGATCTATTAGAAACAGATGATTTTGCTTCCTAACCAGTAATCATATAGTACTATATCCACTCCCATAAGCACTAAATCCACTCCTTTACATGTAAAATACTTCCCAAGTACTCCCCAAATCATAAAATGTTGTAGATTTAGTGCTAAATAGGTGAAATCTGGTGTTAAATTATGGTGTATATATCATGCTTGATGAAATATTTGGTTGAACATTGTTGACAGTTTGACAACTTGTACGGATGCCGCCACTCTCTACCAGACGGTTTGATGAGAGCCACTGATGTCATGATCGCCGGAAAGGTTGCGGTGGTCTGTGGGTACGGAGATGTGGGCAAGGGCTGTGCTGCAGCCCTGAAGCAGGGCGGTGCCCGCGTGATTGTGACTGAGATTGACCCAATCTGCGCCCTCCAGGCCCTCATGGAGGGCCTCCAGGTCCTAACCCTGGAGGACGTTGTCGCGGATGCTGACATCTTCGTCACCACCACAGGCAACAAGGACATCATCATGGTCGACCACATGAAGAAGATGAAGAACAATGCCATTGTCTGCAACATTGGCCACTTTGACAACGAAATCGACATGCTCGGCCTGGAGACATACCCTGGGGTGAAGAGGATCACCATCAAGCCCCAAACCGACAGATTTGTCTTCCCTGAGACAAACAAGGGTGTCATCATCCTGGCTGAGGGTCGTCTCATGAACTTGGGCTGTGCCACCGGACACCCCAGCTTTGTGATGTCATGCTCCTTCACCAACCAAGTCATTGCCCAGCTGGAGCTGTGGAAGGAGAAGGCCACTGGGAAGTACGAGAAGAAGGTTTATGTCTTGCCCAAGCACCTCGACGAGAAGGTTGCAGCTCTTCATCTTGGGAAGCTCGGCGCGAAGCTCACGAAACTCACTGCTGACCAAGCTGCTTACATCAGCGTTCCGGTCGAGGGTCCCTACAAGCCTTTCCACTACAGGTACTAAGAAGACTTCAAGAAGAGAAATCTTTTACCTACACGGGCAATGCTTTGTCTTCTATTTTTTTCATCAGATCTGATTTACTTTGCCAAGAAACAGTTGTTTTTTTGTGGGTTGTTGGGATATGTTGAAAAGTTTGAGTACCAGAGGGAAAGGTCTCTTGTTGAAGAAGGCCATTTTTTCTTGTTGAATAAGGTTGGGGTTTTGGGGGGAGGGCATTTTGGACCCTTTGGGGTGGTACTTTACTACTTTAGCTATTTAAGTTACAGGGGCTTGCTTTAATTCTTATGTCATGTTATATTTTCTTCTATTCAACAAAAAAAGGAAACGCGTTTTGTTTTCTTTGCATGTCCAATTTGTTTTCACTTGTTCATCATTTTACTCAAAGCAAAGGTTGCTTAGGACTCTTTTCAATTTGGTGGGTTTGGAATTTTGAAAATGCCTATTGAAATTGTAAAAGGTTAAAATAAGGTTTACAGAACAGTGTTGGATCTACTAAATGCCCACTAAAGTATTTGGCAATGTTTGTAAGTGTTCTACTACCACTCAATCTAAATAAGTTTTCACTTAGCATCATATTTGTATTTATTCTTGCATTCACTTAACATTTGTAAGGCTATGTGGATTGTGGTAGAACAATGTTATGTCAATTTTTCTTTTTCTTATCATTTTTGTCCTTGTTCACGGGTGTGGATTGCACTCATCTCTTTTCCTTCTTTAAAATATTTAAGAATATCTGCATGCTCGAGAGATGACAAATGATCAACTCTCGACATTAGAATCTCGTTTTTTGTTGCGTTTGCGCTCCATCCGTTGTGCTTCCTTGGCGACATTTTGTTTTAGAGGAATCTTCTCATATTGCACCTCGTTGAGGGCGACCATGGTGGACACGAGGTTGTCGATAATTGGGCCTTCGACTACAGTTGCATACGATGATGGCGCCCTCTTTGCCTTATCCCTCTCGACGGGCCACGTCGGCTCGGTAGGGATTGGAATGTCGTCGTCGTCGGTACTCAGTAACACAGATGTCCAATGAGCGTCAGACGCCACATGGCTACTATGTTGCTCGGGTTTCGATGTCTTGACCCGTTTGGCTTGACACACACTGTTTGGTACCCAGGCCCATTCCGAGTGCCCACTAAATATCTCTCACGCTTAAAGATGTTGCGCGTGATGCTTCGACAACGTCATCGTCCCTCACCCAGTTTTTTAAATTAGAGAGGTTTGCTTTACTTTTAATGTCATGTTATGTTTTCTTCTATTCAACAAAAAGCGAGACCAGTTTTGTTTTCTTTGCATGTCCAATTTGTTTTCACTTACACATCATTGTACACAAAGCAAAGGTTGCTTAGGACTCTTTTTTTTTTGAAGGGTAGGACTCTCTTTTCAATTTGGCGGATTTAGAATTATTAAAAGAAAAAAAATACTAAATTAGAAGTAAAATATAGAGAAAATATTAAAATAAGAATTTCATGTTTTTTTTACCTCTATCTTAGAATTATCTTTTTAATTACTATTCATTAAGTTAGAATTTATCAACCTTTTATTAGCACAATAAACGCAACTTTCATAACCAAAACCTCATCAAAAGTATACAATAGAGTTTCTACCCAAGCAAACCCCCCCCCTCCCCCCTCACATTACTTTCCTATATGCTTCATCCGTCCCAAAAAGGTATTCCCATTTTAACTTTTAAGAAATTTAAGGAAGAGACATTTTTGTATTAATTTTCCAAAAATATTCTTAATGTGATGGGTAAAAGTAGAATGTGATGTGTAAATTATTAGTAAAAAGTTATAATGTGATATGTAGTTTAGAAATTAATAAGGGTAAAAATGATTTTTTAATAGAAATGAGAAGAATTTTGTAGGACAAGTAAAAAAAGAAAGAGAAAAGAATTTTTGTGATGGAATGAGTATAAAGTAACTATGAATATATAAATGAGCAAAGTTTTCAGCATCTTCCATTGTACATCTTTTTGGGTGTACCACCTTGTTTCTTGTTCTCCATATATTGTGCTCTTCAAATAGCGAGGGTCATCGGCCTTCCCTTCCTCTGCTTAGTCTTCAGCAGTATAGCCTCCAACTCTAGATTTGTCTCTGGGAGTTGGAAATTAAACCTACCAAAGCTGGATTTACATATCTCTGGTGTGAAAGTGCATTCCCAAGTTATATGGCTATCTGTTTCTTCATCTAATCATCTATATCACATAAAGCACAACTTGTGTTTATAGGAATGTATTTGCTTAATCTAGCTTTGGTCTGGAGTCNGTTAGTTTGTTCCAAACTAATTCATTCCATCTTGGGTTTGTACCTCTTCCTTGAAGCTATTCATACCCCACTCTGACATTAAACTTCTTTTCAATAAGCATAGCTCTGAATTCTTCTCTTACTTGAATCATTTCTCTCGAGTAATGTCATGAGTCCAAACTTAGAGTATAATCCCAGAAATTAGCTTTTCAAATGTACCTCTTGTGTATCCACCTCACCCATAAAACATCTTTATTGTCAGCAATGCCCCCAATAGAACTTCATTATGGTTTCTTTATTCCAGTTGTAAGCATTTTTAATGCCCAATCTTCCATATTTCTTTTCTTGACAAACCTCCCCCTATAACACCCCAACCCACATAACCCGAACCAACGAGTTAGCAAATCGGATGATTATTAATTTTGCATTCACATGCACAATATTTTAAAAATATTTGAAATAAAACATCAATTCACATTTATTTAAAAGCAAATCATAATTAATCGAAGTAAATAATCCAAACATTGTGGAAGCATTTAAAAACAACATCATCAAAACATTGTTATAATTTATACAAAATTAAGTCAACAAAGCTTTTAATTCGATGTCAAAACTAATCTATAGACTAGTATCTATTAACATATAGTCACACAATATTTGATAAATCAGCAAATATCGTTATTATGTAACACGATCAATTATTCATTTATTTTAGTTCAGATCATATTTATTCTTTTTCACTTAACATACTATGCTAATATTAAACCACATGAGACTAGAGTCATGGTTATTTCAGAAACCGCCTAGAGCCACTCTTGAAACCACAAAGAACTTCTCTGAGGTGGGTTGGAGCCTCTATCCGTCACTGCAGATAGGTCCCGGCCTCCCGTACATACGTTTTTAACCCAAGACTTGTGAGTTATGCGAAACTCGCCCCACCAAGCCTAAATCCTAAATCTTAACTTAATGGTGATTCAAATGCCTTTCTTCTTTTGACAACAAAGAATAATGTCATAATATGATAACTTTAAATAGAGTACCTACGGTACTTCGACCGCAAAATTAATTGTTTCTACTTGCCAAATTTCTCCCGTAAACCTCCCACTCTGGCCCGCCCCGAATCCATCCCCCAATCCCTTCAATTTTATTCCCTAAATTTATTTGACTTTTGGGTGTAAAAATTTGATCCAAAAATCAAATAAATTTGGGGAATAAAATTGAAGAGGTTAAGGGAGGGCTGGGCTGGGGATTTACCATAGGATAAGAGAGGTAGAAAATATTAATTTTATGATCGAAGCACCGTAATTATTCTAATTGTAGTAGCATAGTTTTTAGAGTCGGACCGGTGACCGAACCGGTCTCGGTACTGGTTCATTGGTTTACTGGTCGAACCAGTGGTTTAACTGGTCGAACCGGTGGTTTAAAAATAAAATTTACATATTTAAAAAAAAATATTAAACATTTTATAAACAAAGAGTTGATTTTATTTTTTCTAATAAATTATCTTATATTAAAAACACTGAAATGAAATCTTTGCATAATATTTGTAATTGTATCAATTATATCAATAATTCTGAGTTTGAATCATAGCTATAAAGTTCTTAAAATGAAAAGAAATCTTTAAACATTTTTAATAATGTATTATTAAAGATTATTAAAGTGAACTTATAACACAAAGACACTTTAGCTGAGATGGTTAGAGATTTAACTCTGGTAGCAAGATGTCTTGGGTTTGAAGGTCTTGCGAACCGACCGGTTTTTTCTTGGTTCGTAGTAGTTCGAAGTAAGTTGCGGTCCAAGGTGTCGAACCGGACCGGTTGGGCCACCGGTTCACGGTCCAAACCGGCCGGTCCTGTCCGATTTTTAAAACTATGTGTAGTAGTTATCATATTAATGACAACACAAACTAGACACTAAACATAACCAAAATAACTGATACTCCATTTGTTGTTGTGAAAGGACTGGAATACCCTATTTGGCTGTAACAGTCGCAGGTTTGAAAGAAAAAAAATCCCAACGGGAACAAGAATCGTAGCTTGGTTACAAATTCCAAATTAGGGTTCAAAAGATCGGAATTTTCATAACAGGCGGAAGTCATTAGTTTCACTCACTCTTCTAAAGTGTTACAAATCGCAAATTTGGGTTCAAAAGACTGATAGTGAAGCTTAAATCGGTAAATATAAGTTCCTTCTTTATTACTTCTTTTGTTTTTATTATCTGAAATTAGAGTACTTATTGTGCCTTGTTTTGGACTTTTCGGTCATGCATGGCATGTGTTTGTGAAAATGATTGTGAATTTATTGATGAATATGTAGATTGTGAGTATGGAAGTATATGGTGATGGATTTTTTGCTACTGTGTTATAGTCTTTGAGAAGCTTTTAACTAAGTGTCATTGTGTTTCTACATCTCAAACAGAAGTAACATAATTACACTTTGGTTAGTACAATTAATAAAGTCTTAAAATGAAATGGGTGTTGATAATGGCTTACCTTTTTTTGGGTTTTTGATGATGGCTTACTGATTTTTAAATTGAAAGGATAGCATTTTATTCATAAAAGTATAGGATTGCAAATGTTTGTTAGTAGACATTACTTGTGTATGCAAATGGTTGTTGATTAGGACTTACTGTTTTGAACTATCCTATTTGGGATTTGAAATTCAAGAAAACACAATGAAACTTGGTAGGTAATACCCAATTTTTATAAAAAATGGACGACAGGGTGCACAAAGCGTGATTGTGTTAACCAGATTTAGGGGTAAAAAGACAATAAGACTTGCATCAATGGTTAAGATAGAACTAAGATATCTAGCAGCTAGATATACATTTTTAGTCCAAAAAGACATTGACACAAATATAGACATTGTGAAATCTTTCTGAAAGACATTGTTATTTTAAATGCATTGCAATAAAATTTAGTTATTGAAGACATTGTGTGTAGATACACTCTGGAACCTTGTCATGTAGGAGACACATATATAGGTTATTTCTTCTTGCTTAGGATGATATAGTATGTGCATATATGTTTCCGCTCAATACGGAGACATAATCTATGTTACGTATATATGTAAGGAACTAATCTTAATATGTGTGGTTGCGATAGGTTTATAGGAAGATCTGCGGCAAAGAAGCGTTGATTGGAAAGACAAGGGTGAAAATAATTTGCTTTTGTAATGTCTAGATTGGTGTGAACAGTGTGAAAGAAGTCCTAAACCATGTTGAATTCCAAACATTCAAATCGTTGGTGTTTGGGCATTTATTGGGCATTGGATATATTAAGTGGGTAAACGGGCAATTGTTAATCCTTCTAGCTCTAAATTACATGGAACCCTTAAAGGAAAGAGACATGGTTGATAGTGTTGTGTTTTACATGGGAGGTAGAATGCTAAAACTGAAGAAGAGAGACTTTTCTATGATCATGGGCCTTAAGTTTGGGTCTTAAGAGATACATGATGGCACTGCTTTGATGGAGCCAAATGACCTGACTAAAAGGTACTTTGAAGGGCATATGATAGTAAACCGTGATGAAGTCGAGAATGCATTCGACAAAACAAAACAAAAAAACCCCAAGATGCTGCGAAATTAGCCCTACTTCACATGCTTGGAGACTACGTGACTGGAAACCAAGGTAAATACAAAGATCCTGCCACTCTTCACGCTTCCTGGGTTCTTGTTTCCACTACAAATATGGGCATTTGAGACGTTCACTGATTTAGGAGAGAAGAAAAAATGCATAATGAAGGATAACAACAAGACATTATGGGCACAAGCAGCGCAATCCACCAAGGCACGCGTCCCTAGAGGAAGCAGCTTTTGCCTTTTTGGGCACGACGAGGTGACATTAATGAGAATAGTATAAAAACTGTGGTTGAAAGAATGTGTTTACATGTAATAATTTGTTTGTTTTGAAGGTCATTAGTAATAGTTTGGGCATTTTGCATGTAGATAAAGTGGAGGCCAAGGATTGTACATGAATCAGAGAAGAGAAATGAAGTCAGTATGAACTTTTTCAGAAATGATAATGCAGAAGAGGAGGGGGATTTTGAAAGTGAGGATTGTTGTCTTCAACGGTTTGGCGCTAGGGGTAGCAAACTAAAGGGGAGACTACATTGGGGGGGTGTGGAAGTAAAGAGAGTAAGGAATTTTTAAATGAGGTAACAAAAGAAAGGGAATAGGAATGTTCATGAAGAAAGGAGGAATGGAGAAGACAGAACAAAACAGAGAAAGGCTATCCCGCTGGCAGAAGTGGAAGTGCAAAAAATTGTGAAGAAAATGAGACATTAGACACCGTCAAGGATCCGATGGCAATGATCGTGTCAATGGTGAAAAAAATGAAAATATGCATAAGAAACTGAATGAGCTCGCAGATGCACACACTAGCCTCTCACACCTTGTAAAGAGGTGTCTGGTCAAGGCCGGGCTGCTTAAGCCAAGACGTAAAAAACAAGAGCGTAAAGAAAATGGTGAAACAATGCCCGGTTAATCTAGGTATGGAGAATCAAGATCAAGAGGAATCTGGTCTGGATAATTTGGGAAGCGAAGGGTTCGAGGACAAGTTAGGGGTTCAAAGATTGGGACCCTGGTGGATATGATGTTGAAAATGGAATGCCGCACGGTTCGTGCTCAGAACTCAATACACAAGAACTCAATGGGCAATGGGACAAGCTGGCTCTTGAGGTAAAGGCTAGAATGAATAAGGGGAAGGAGAAAAGCTTTGAACAAGTTGAATATGGAGCGGAGGGGTTGAGTGGACTAGTAGGCGAGTCACGTGAGATTACCGAAAGAGGTGCGACCAAACGCAATGGTGGGTACACCAAGTGTACACAATACAGACATAAAGACATTGAGTCTGTGTGTCTATTTTTACCTTAGTGTACATTTGGTGTACCCCATGTAGGGTTCTCCAAGCATTTTCCCAACTTTTGATATCGGCACCAGAGAAGTCTTCTATGGTCTATCATCTATGGAAGTATATTATTTGACATAGACTTCATTATGCAATCACTTACGTGAATGGAAAGGGAAAAAAGAAAGGAAAGCCCCTCTTAAAGTGTTCATTAAACATTTCTTTATAAACCCAACAATAAAAGGTGTCTTTAAAATTAAGACTTCAGAGTTCCCCAATGGTTACGTACCTCATCTTTTATTCTTTTTTTTTTTTCGTTTTCACACATATGGATAGATTTATATTCCGTTCTTCCCAAAAAGAATTTTCTGTTCAATCAAAATGTATAAAATTCTTTATGCAGTTCTTTAATATGTAATTTTTTTTAGTTTTATGACTATTATCTTATAAATCAAAATGAAAATATTTGAGTAGAAGTGTTCATTATATTTTAGCTTTGATCAGTTCAATATGGCGACTCTCTTTTTTTTTTTTTTTTAAATAAAGGAATGACCTTCTATTTATGGAGTATTTCTACCCTTTTTTTCATTTGCAATAGTCCCCAAAACCTAACAAACTGCATCTTTTTTTAAAGAAAAGCTAAGAAACAAATTAAAGATGGTGCATGTATTAAAAACTCAGAAATATACTTTCACATATAACAATAAAAACCGGATACCCGGCGGGGGCGGGGGAGGGGTTGCAATAATTAACAACTACGTTCGTTCATGAGTATTTGTTTAATTTTTACATTTGTAGTTAAAATATATGAACTTTGACCACTATTTATATAAAATTGATATGGAGTATATTACATATTGATATCAAAAAGGAAAAAAGACTATAAAACATTGAAAATATACCAAAATAGGAGTTCCATATTTTTATTTCTGAAATAAAAGTTAAAATACACGTACAGTGTCCATCATGACCATGTACATTACCAAAAAATATTGTGAAATATTCATATATCGTGTCACATTACCACAATGTGAAATTCTATTTTAAGGATAAAAATATGCAGCTTCTATTTTGATACTTTCTCTATGTTTTATCCTCTGTCCAACAATAAAGTTCCTATTCACTATTCACAGGGTCAAACTTTATTCACTTTATTGGCCTATTTTCATGTCCTATTTGATAAAATAATATAGTTATGTCATCTCTAGTTTTGTAGATCTTTTTATGTAGTTTTTAAATATGTAATTTTTATTTTTTGATTCCATACCTTTTTTTTATAAAATGATTTTTAAATAACTTCAATTAAACATCGTAACGCGTAACGAGAACTTTATTTATGGATGGAGGGAGTACGTACTACTTAAGGTGATTTATTTTTTAAAGAATAAAATTCTTAGATTTGTTTTATATAGTATTATAAATTTTTTATTTTATCTTAATCAATATACTTTATAAATATCACTCTAGGGATGTAGATAGTACAACAACAACAACAACCAAAAAATTGACTCCAAAAAATCAAAACTTAACAAATTTCGAGAGAATAACCACCACAACAACAACAAAGATGAATAGGGCCTTATAGGGGTTTGGAATGAAATGTGGATATGATGCTCCATCATGTCCATATGTATGCCATGACAAATAGGGATATGATGACCATGTTTGTGGCGGCTGCCGCCGCCGCCTGATAAGTGTGTAGTAACATTGCAGCGGAAGAAACAGAACCGGCGGCGGCGGGGGAGAGGGCGCCGAATGAGGCGTTGCAGGCCAATATATAGAGACAGGAACAAACCGGCGACGGATTATTACTCTCAATCTTACACTCTCCATATGAATAATTCCCGTAGTTATGCATACACGTACTGTTACATTTGGTCGGATTGATTCCGTTGCCGGCGCACAACGTAGGATCCCCACTGGTTCCGTTGCTGGTGAAAATTCTGTTGCATTCTGAGCCTCCTGTTTTTTCTGCAACAAAATTATTGGTAGTAGATCCCAATCCTACTGCTCCTTCATTAATTTCACAACATGCACAGACAATGATCGTCTATAATAATTTTGTATCAAACCCGATGGGTTTTAGTATTACTCCCTCCGTTCTCAAAAACACTTCCTCTTTCATTTTTTCCACTTCCAACAAAACACTTCTCCTTTCTATTAAAAAACCACTTTTACCCTTACTTTTTCATACCCTACCTATCACATCATACTTTTTCTCTAATAATCTATCCATCACATCTTACTTTTACCCATCACATCAGGGGCAAAATTGGAAATCAACTATAATTTAACACTTCCTTATTTTTGCCCCCAAATCAAATGGGAAGGGTTTTTCGAAACGGAGGGAGTATTATATATCATCATAAATATATATACCTAAAACACAAGCAGAAAGAAATGCCAGGAGGAGCAGGTACAAATGTATGGAAGAGTGCACCATTGTTTTGAGCTCCACAAACAAGATTTGTTTATAGTATAAATAAATATTGCACAGGTAATTAGATATGAGCAAAATTGGACGGCTCTGGGGATCCTATTAATAATAAGGCCACCGGTGTCTTTAATTTGTCATCCCTTTTTTCTCTTTGTAACTTTTGAAAGTTGGCAACTTTTTTTTTTTGAAAATCGTCATCTAACACATCATTACCCATTTACCCCAACAATTCATATACTCCCTTACTCCCAAAATAAAATATTTGTTCGGTTTACGATGTTTGATTGACGCTATTTTCAAAAAAATATAAATAAAAATTAGTATAGAATTAAAAAATAAAAAATATATATTCGAAAACTACATCAAAAGTTCTACAAAATAAATTGTGATAAGATTATTTTATTTTATCTCATAATCGATCGATGAAAAAATACAAAGAAAGTAGAGTTAGTTTGACCTGTAAATAATAACATGGTGTTTTCTTGTAGGGAGTTATTGAGAATTAAATATAGATGTATTAGGACATAGAATATTATTATTTATTACATTTCATATTACATTACTTCCTTATTCTATTACTACTATGATTATTCTCTTACTTATATTAAAATTCTCTCTTGTAATCCTTATACTTCCTTCGTCCCAATTTTTATTACCATTTTTTCTCTCTCCTCTCGACAACTATTCTTTATTTATGTGTTTTCATTGATTATTTGATAAAATAAAATACTTTTGTCACCTCTTAGCTCTTTTGTAAAATTTTAGACACAGTTTTCTAATATGAAATTTTTATTTTTTATTGAAGAACTAATTTATAAATAAAATGATTTCAAAAGTCGTGGGATTTTACCTCGTAATTCCCAATTTGTAATCAAAATCAGGACGGAGAGAGTATATAAGAATGTATCCTTCATTACTCAATAAGATCAATTATTTTCAAATTCTATCAATTATCAACAGTGGCATGTGATGTGGATTTAGGTCATGTTCTCTTCACATGATCTCAATGGTTCTAATTTGATTGGACTATGTTCTGATCTGGTCTGATCTGAATATAGATATATTTAAAACTATTTTTTATTTAACACGACTTCAATAAGAAAAAGTAATACTCCGCAACTAATAAGAATAAATTGGAGAAAATGACCTTATTAATGCTACCTGTGGCTTCCTTAGGCCTTCTTTTATGGGGCTTTACAACTGCCCGTTGTAACACCCCGGCCCCCACCCTGACCATTAGCGTCCGCTCATAGGATTGTAGATTGGTCCCTCAAACCAACACAAGTCTTTCCCGCACACTTTGTCCTCACTTGTGCACGTCCAAGGAAACTTCTCAGGGGGTCACCCATTGTAGAATTACTCTAGGTCAAGCACGCTTAACTTTGGAGTTTCTAGGTGATGACTAGGGCTGAGTGGGAAACCGAACCGTTACTGTTTGGTTCCGTTTTGGTTTTCACTTTGAAAAACCGAACCGAACTGAATAAACCGAACTTTCTTAGATACTTCGCTTTATTTATATGAATATATGTGATATGTAGAAAAATCATATAAATATAACAACAACAACCCAGTTAAATCCCACTATGCAAATAAATTACTAGTCGCTTAAAATTATTTTCTTATCTATTAATTAAACATTCTACCCATATTATTATAAACTTTAAAAAACTTAAGAATATATATATGAACACCAATAGCTAATCCTAATATAGAATTATATTAAGATTAAAAATTGATACGCGTAATTTACATAAAAAACACTTTGATGTTATTATGAAAATGAAAGTATTATACAAAAAATATAAATTCTTCATAACTGATTTTACATACAATGTCTTTGAAAGTATTTGGAATCTTTTAAATGTTTGTTGGGCACTCAACACATTTTTTTTAAGTAAAATTGAACTAAAAGGAACAATAACCTTCCGTTTGGTTTTTGTTTTTGTGTAAAAATCAAACAAAAAAATCAAAGCTAACACTACATATTGTTATTGTTTCATCGAGTTAGTGTTTTTGCAATTTTTTAATGCGTATAAATTTCTACTTTTATAAACCGAAAAAACCAAAAAAAACCGTATAAAACTGAATCGAATAACCAACAGTTTACATATTTTTTATGCAAAATCGAACCGAACTGAACCGCCAATTTACCTTCCGTTTTGTCTTTGGTTTTGGGTGAAAACCGAACCGCCAAAACCGAACCCACCCCTAGTGATGACATCTCGAAAAAAAGATGCACCTTGTTGGTATGAGTAGTACAATCAATCCTTTTGAGCCTTTTTTCTTTCCTCAATCCATTTATTTTCAAATGAGGGTATTACATTCACCCCCAGTTCTGATCTGGTCAGATCTGAATATATATATATATATTTAAAACTATTTTTGATTTAATACGACTTGAATAAGAAAAAGTAATACTCCGTAACTAATAAGAATAAATTGGAGAAAATGACCTTATTATTGCTACCTGTGGCTTCCTTAGGCCTTCTTTTATGGGGCTTTACAACTGCCCGTTGTAACACCCCGACCCCACCCTAGCCGTAGACTGACCCACAAACCAAGACAAGTCTTTCCCGCACACTTTGTCCTTACTCGTGCGAACCCAAGGAAACTTCCCAAGGGTCACCTATCCTAGAATCACGCCAAGTCAAGCACGCTTAACTTTGGAGTTTGTAGGTGATGACCTCTCGAAAAGAAGATGCACCTTGTTGGTATGAGTAATACAACCAATCCTTTTGAGCCTTTTTTCTTTCCCCAATCCATTTATTTTCAAATAAGGGTATTACATTCACCCCCGACACTAGGACGCTAATTGTTGAGTATGAATGCTTATCTAATCTGTTGGGATCTGGTATGAATTTAGAAATACTCCCTCCGTTCCACAAAACCCTTCCTCTTTCGTTTTTTTATTTCCACAAAACACTTCCACTTTCTATTAAAAAACCACTTATACCCCTACTTTTTCATACCATACTTATCACATCATACTTTTTCACTAATAACCAAACTATCACATCTTACTTTTTCCCATTACATCAGGGGCAAAATTGGAAAGTCAACCAAAATTACACTTTCCTTATTTTTCCAAAGTCAAAACCGGAAGGGTTTTGTGGAACGAAGGGAGTATGAAATTATGATTTTGGATACGGATAGGCTACATTCGAAGCAATGGTGCATATATGAATGATGAAAAATTATATGTTTATATGTAGGAAAAACAACACACAAATAACAGAAGTGGAGCAACACTTCCATGTTGCAGATTTTGCAGGATGGTTCCAAACTTCTAATTAAGAAAAAAAACTTGAAGAAATTAAACGCTAGTTTCGCCTGTGCCACAAAAAAAGTGATGTTTGAACAACGTACAAATTCATAATTTTGGTAAAATGTATCACCTACGACTTACAAATATCAATCCGACATACTCCTTGTGTTCGGAAACAGCCTCCCGCTCTTGAGTAGACTCATATCCTCCCGAGATCCTACTTTTGTAAGATTTTAGTGGGTCTGTTGTTGGTGTTGTTGCTTCATCTAGAGTCACATCAATACATGCATTGAATGAAATATAGACAATGGGGGCTTGGAACTTTTGGCATTCTTCCACAGCCCAAGAAACACTAAGGAGCCTAATGAAAAGCTTGAGGTTAAGTAACTGAACCACAAGTGAAATTACTGATTTACTGACAGCAGGGAGCTAGGACCCTTTTTGTGGTTGGGTTATCCCACATCCACTGTGGAAGGGGTTGGTGGTCAGTTTTTGTGGGTGTGAGAAAAAAAAAACATCTCACCCCTTGAAACATAAACATGGTATTAGGGTCCATTAATCAAACAATTACCCAATTAGTGGCTGGATATATTTGGCTTGATAATTAAATATGATTTTGGTTGGCTCAAATATACCCATCAATTCCCAATTGAAACATGAAACTAAACAAACATGAAACATATAAAATTGAGGTAGCCCTGTTAAGGCAGCCAGGATCAGTAATAAGGAATGTGACAGATTGGTGGAAAGCATCACTGTTAAAATCTCTTCCTGGGTGACTAGAAACCTTTCATATGCTTCAAGAAGCAGATTGGTGAACTCTGTTTTGGGTGGTATAATGAATTTCTGAAGTAGGTATGTTTGCGAAAGACTAATGGAGGCCTGGGCATAAGGAATATGATCCAATGAAATAGAGCTTGCATTATGAAGATGTGTTGGGATATTGCCAACAAAAAAGACTCTCTATGGAAGTATGGATTAAATGGATCCATAGTAGGTATATTGAGAATAGAAATTTATGGGAAAATTCTCCTAAAACATATTGCTGTCAGTCTGTCACTACTGGAAGAAGCTGTTGAGTAATAGGAAATGGCTTGAGAATATGCCCATGGTGGAGGAATACACAGTGGAGAAGGGCTATGATTGGCTTATTGGAGATAGACCAAAACCTACTTGGGTGAAGATGGTCTGGAACAGATTTAGCCTGCCTAAACATCAACACATTTTGTGGTTTAATGAGATAAGCATTCGGTTTCAAAAAAGAATGTAAAATTGACAGATAAATCTTCACATTTACAATTGAATAAAGAAAAGAAGCCAAAAAGAGAGAGCATAACAACCCAACTTCCAAGAACAGTTTGAAACTTTTTACCAAATCTCATATCTGTACCAGAGCCAGATATGTTCAACCAGCTCAAGAATTGATGCCATTGATCTGTCTGGCACATCTTGTAATGATCTCACAGCCTCTGTGGTAAGAGTTGGGTTTGGCAGGGACCTTGCAGAGGTAATATGAGGCCCCAGGAGTATCACAAGGGACCATATCTCTTCTCAGAGTCTCATAGCTAATGTACTTCTTGTGCATCAGCAAAACCCTCCTACTGCTCAAAGAATCCATCTCCTCCTCTTCTTCTTCTTCGGCAGCCACGGCGGGGCACTCGCCGCTCGTTCTAGAGCAAACCCTTTTGGCTATTGCATCAAAGTCGCCGGCTTTCGCCTGGTTGGGGCCGATTTCAGATGCCCCGTGGCAGATTCTTGATCTGGAATTCAAGAAAAGCAGGGCGAGGAAGATGGGTTTCAGCATTCCCATCATGGGTTGTGTGAGGTGAGATTTGTTGGAGTGGAATTGCACTGGTATTTAAGGGTTGAGTGAGAGTGGTGAGGAGACTGGAGTGCTGAGATTTTGGCCCACTCGGGGAGACAGATGAATGAGAGAAAACTTGTTGCATTTATGCATTCGTGACTTTTGATTCAGTGGCTGTCTTTTCAATTGTGTTCATTGTCATGTGGTGTTTTAGCAGCTTGTCCTAAACTGAGTGCCCCGCCTTGGCTTCTTGTCCGCATAGCCCACAGCTCTCTTATTTTTTTACTCTCACCGAATAGGGAGTAAATTATTTATTGAGTTTTGACTTTTTTGCCGTCATTCAAGAATAAATTTTGATTTTAATGAAAATTATAGATATGCTAATTTGATAAAATAATATTTGAAAAATATTTTACAAGATAAATCTAATAAAATTATTTTTTAATCAATATATAATCTTGAGTTTATTTTATTTATAGTCAAAGTTTGTCATTTGATTGTACAAAATCAAAATTGAAAAAATACATTGGGACAAAAGTTATACTTCCTTCATCCCTGAGTATTTGTTCATTTTTTCGTTTAAAATTGATAAATTTTGACCTCAAATTAAATTAAAATGATATTAGATATTGTAAAAAAATAATTTTATTAGATTTATTATATCAAAGGTTGAAAACAGTTGATCAAAAAAATTAAAACTGGACAAAATACTTAGAGAGAGATAATATTTCTTTTCCTTTTGAGCTCCAAAATTTTAGTAGACTAAAAGCATCCAAACTTAAGAGTATTTTAAATGAGACTAGCTAACACTAAAACATGATATATGTATATACTAAAATAAGATCTTGAATGTTTTTATTAAATTTATTATCAACACTTTTAGTTCCTTCATTCATTTTTAAAAAGAATTACGAGTAAATTTTCCAAACGGTCATTTATATATAAGAGGTGGGTTTTCTAATCTAGGAGTAATATACGGAGTAATTCTTTATTTCGAATTTCTTTTGTAATCATCTAATATCCGAGATCTATTCTATAATAAATCATTTGTGCACTACATTTGGGGAAATACATTGTTATAAAATACTCTTTAAAGAATTCGCTCTAAAAGTGGATTTGTTTACCAGTTAAAAAAATTAAAAAGTATAGAGTAAATTAAAATCCCTAAATTAACATCACCCCTATTATTCATATGGCCAAAAGAATAAGGATTGATTGTCACAAATCGTGAAGTATTCTGTTTAAAAATTAGCCTAACATATTCATTTTTAAAAAGTTAAAAGCTAACGTTTTCATGTTTCTTCACCAAGGGGAGTGTATTCAATCACGATTCTGAAAGATTTTGATACATTGTTTAAAGTATATGGATTATGTAAAATCCACGGATTATTTTAAATCTAAGCAGAGTTTGTTAGATTTTAATGTATTTTATCAGAAGGATTTTATAGGATTCTGTCTGATTGTTTATAATCCATATATTATTTATATATAAATATGAATTTTTTTTATAAAGCTATACATTATTGTAACAGAACTATTGTAACTAACTATTAAAAATTTTGAGAAGGTTATAATAAAATAAAAATAAAGTATTTTTTAAACTTTTTCATCATCATAATATGTTTATTAGAATAAAATAATGCTCCGTGTAGTACTCAATGTCATAAGCAATAAATTTGTTTTTACAACTAAAACTGTTATTATCTCTCAAACATTCTTCTAGTATGTCAAAATTCATCAATGAAAATAAAAAATACAAAAGAAGACATTATCTAAAATTTAAAGATAAATGAAAAATATAACTATTAAACAAGAGAGTCTTCCATTTGCATTTTCATTATTACTAAAACCTTCTTCATTCTCCTCATTAGCATCATTTTGTGGTCGACATAGAGACAAGACCGAAATCAACTAATCGTGACTAATTCCTATACATCAATTTAACAAGAGGTAACAACTCATAAATCATGGCAATGCATCCCCGTGAGTTTATGGATTAAAAACTCCGCTTTGCTACTGATCAATTTCACTTCTGTCAAACTCATTGAATCTATAACATGTAAACGCAAAAGAAAACGTCCTCGAAATCTTCCATTGTGCAATCGAACAAAAAACTCGTTCACTGTCGCTACATCAAGGAAAATTATATACTGATACAAGCACAAGTTCATAAACCATGTGAGACTCTGGCATGCCAAATTGCCATCTCCAGCAAATGCTGGATGCGGAAATCGCGAATGCAAATAGCATACTAGTCGCAGAGAGTGATTGTTATACAGGCAAGAGGGAGCGAGAATAGAGTGGAGAGAAAGTAGTACCTTCGAAGTGGAGCTCTTCGGCGAGACCTTGAAGACGACGACGATGCAGCAAATAAGCTGAGGCTGCTGCTCTGAATCAGAACTCAAAATAGATGGATTTTGATTCGCTTTTAAATTGTTCTTTAAAAGTAAAATCAAACTCTCCCAAATTGACTAATTGAATCCCCACATCACAGGATCGTCCAAGCTGAAAAATATGCCAAAGGAGAAATCACAAATGCTCTATCGCTGGAAAATAGGAGCCCCAAGAGACCCTAGAACCCTAAAATCGTTATAAAAAAAAAAAAGTGAAACATTAGGGAAGACCTGTTGATAAATATGATATGCGAACATGAACGAAGAACATACTAATAGAGGCAGATTGAAGACTAGCTAACTAACGTGGACATGTGATTGCTGACGGTGATGAGAGGGATCCCCGGAGGGCGAGAGGTGACGAGGCGGATCGGAGGAGGGTGTCGGCGTTGTGGACGGTGGTGGTGTTGATCAGATTGGCCACGGCCTTGGCAAAGCAGCCCGACCAGAGGAGAGGAAGACGACCAGAGACGAATTGAATACCTACAGATTTTCAAAATTTAAAAAAATTCATACACCGCCCTAAATTAATCATACAAGTCAATATGAAGGGTATATTGGTCAATGCATACCAAAACACAAAGTTCCGATGATGAGTATGTTCGTAGACGAGGTCATCACTTGATGGGCTGCCACATAGGTATGTCGTAAGTGGGTGAGGATGAGTAAAATATGTGTGTGACGAGACTTGAAATGAGACGTGACCAAAAAGTGATAGCACGAAGGTATGAATTACTTTGATTGGCTAAAATAAATGTGTGTTAAATTTTGATTTGTTGAAAATATAAAATAAAAAAGAGTAAATTTCATAAAAAGTCCTCAGTTATAGGTCGTTTTACATATTTAGTCCTTACATATCAAATATTACTAATTTAGTCCCCAATTATTATATTCATTTCCACGAATGGTCCTTTGTTAACATTTTCGTTAAGAATGTGAATAAAATTATAAATTTGCATTCTTTTCTCTCCTCAATTAAGCTTCCTTCTTCCCTTGCACTCCTATTCCAAATCCGTCGCTAAGTTTCTAGCTTTAAATCAAAAACCAAAATTATTACTCTTCTCTCAATTGTTTATCTAACTGGATGAATGATCATTTAAATTTTGGATTTAAGAGCTTAAATTCAGTAACAAGTTTGGGAAAGAGTATGAGAAGATGGAGGAAGCTTAATTGAGGAGAGAGAAGTATAAATATACAATTTTGTCAACGTTCTTAACGGAATTATTAACAAAGGACCATTCATGGAAATGAATATAATAATTGGGGACTAAATTAGTAATATTTGATATATAGGGACTAAATATGTAAAACGATCTTTAATTGGGGACGTTTTATGGAATTTACTCAATAAAAAAAGGAGGATAAGAAGGAAAGTTTGGCCCTTGGTGGCCATCACATGTTAGGGGGCCACAACTATGTTATGGGGCATGATGAGAGAATTATCACCCTCCACCTCCCTATCCCATAACACTCTTAGAGCATGGGAATCGCAATTTGCAAAGTAGAAAATGGAATGTCACACAGTAGCGTGAAATATTTTAACCAATCAGCGTGTGGCAAGTGAATGGAGTGGCATGTCTTACAATGATAAGTAATTACTTTTGTCCATTTTTACACTTTTTAAACATATTTTAATTATTAAAAATTATTTTACTGATATTTTTTTACAAAAATAGATGTGCTCCTATTTTAAAAAAAAATCTTCTTTTTTGTACAAAAAAAATTTAAAAAAATTAGAAAAAAAGAAATCTGACACGTGCATGGAAAAATAAAAGGTAAAAGATAAAAAAAAAGATCCGCGTGCGCCTCGCAGAAGCCTCATGTACCGTGGAAGAATTGTAATCCCACGCGAGGCAAGCGAATGGATTGTCCTACGCATCATGGCATGGCAAGTGGATGGAATGCCGCTGCGCATGCTCTTATTGTGATATATACATTGTGAGCACCCAAAACCTTGACAAAAAATTTCTCATCCAATTGTTAAAAATTTAATTTGAAAAGTTCTTTTGCATTTAAAAAAATATTATTACCTCCGCCTCCAATTAAAGTAGATAAACTTTAATGAGTAATGAAATAAAAATTGTACTCCTTTCGTTCCAATTTAAATCATCTGTCATTGTTTACAAAATTTGACTGAAGTTATTTTTAATTTAATTTATTTAAAAATTAGCGTGCAATTAAAAAATAAATGTATATAAGGAGTATTTAAAAACTATTGAAATACATCAAAAGTTTTACAAAATAAGATGTGATAAGACCATTTTTTCTCAAATTGGAACAGAGGGAGTGTTCAATATTAGTACAAAAATAATTTTATTAGAATTTTCTTACAGGATACTATTAGAAAGTTTATTTCATTATATTAATATGCAATGCAAATTTACTATAATTGATGGCTAAAGTTTGTCTAGTTTAACTCGAAAAGTTAAACTGAACGATTACTTTGGGACGGATAAGGAGGGAGTAAAATATTGAACGGCAGATTTAATTGATAATGAATACTCTGTATAAGAAATACCATTAAAATAAGAAAAGATGGTATGTTTTACTTAAGCAGAGAAGATGGCATTCCTGAGAAGCTTAGGAAGGGAATCGAATGGTAAAAAGTTATATTACTTGTGCAACGTAAGATAACGGGTAGCCAGCCGGGTTACCTTCTTCTATAAAAACACAGTTAACATCTGAAAATGTATATAGTTAGGTAACAAGAGATAAAAGTATTGCTAAAATTTAGATCAATTCAAAATGATGGTCAAGCCTGTACAGAAATATAAACCCCTATAGAACTTAAGCATATCTGTGGTACTGGAATGCAGTCTCAAGAAGCAGCCAAAGAAGTTACGTTGGAACAATGAGGGTATTTACCGTTGGTTTTCACCCCAACATTTGGCCTCTGTCGTTTGCAAACGGATGTCTGGAGCGTTTGCACTAAATAAAGCTGATTATCTGCACTGCAATTTACATCTTCGGACGTCCTTCTGCAGATGCACAAAAGTTGAGTTTTCTGGATGCCATTTAGTATTTTCAGGTTAAGAGGATGACAATTTAATATACAAGCTATAAATTAAGTAGTACTTCCTCCCTCCCAGAAGTCTTGTCTCACTTTGAACAACATGCAAAATCTCATCTTTTTTGAAATTATTTTATTTACAAATTGGTATAAAAATAAAAAGTACAACAACGCAATTGAATCCCACAAGAATAGGGTCTAGGGAAGGTGTGTACGCAGGCCTTACCCTTGCTCGACAGTAGAGAGGTTGTTTCCAAAGAGACCCCTATGTTTAAAACATAGAGTAGTTGTTTCTAGATGACCCATGTTGGGCGTCGAAAGTTGCATTGAATAACTACTTCGCTACTAAAAGAAGCGCAAACAATTTAAAGAGTCATTTTGCTCTATTCTAGCATACCTCACAGCCAAAAACAGTGAATCTTTGGCCCCATAACATATGATGGAAATAGGGAGAAAGACTAAAGTAAGAGTAAAACAATGAAAATATACCAAAATAGAACTTTTGTGTTTTTATTCCCGAAATAGGAGTTAAAATGCATTTACATTACCAAACGTGGTCATGTGCATTACCAAAAAATATAGTAATGTGCACGTGTACACAGTGCCACATTACCTCCACATTACCATAGTGTGAACTCCTATTTCGAGAATAAAAACATGAAACCTATTTTAGTACTTTTTCTATGTGTCTTATTTAGGGTGATTTTACATGGAAATATACAAATAAATAGTAGAAATTACATATTTCAGCATTGCATCGAAAGTTCTATAAAACCAGATATGACAAAAATATTTTATTTTATCAAATAATCAATTAACACACGCAAACAAACAAAAGTTATTGGGGGGTCAGAATAGTAACTGGGACAAGATGTTTGGGACAGAGAAAGTAGTCTATAAAGGAATTCAGGGGAAGAAAATTGACCTTAGAGAGTAAGTTTGTCCATATTGCTTGTGTTTTTAGCCATTCCCTGATTTGATTTGCTATCCTCTTGCTCGTCAGAGGGGATTACTCGGGAACAAGAAGAGCTTGCTTCTTCATTATCCGAAGAACCTGGCCTTTCGGTCAGGAACCGCTCCCAGAACACATCATTCACTCGAGCTGGAGGTGCAGCAGATCCTTGCTTCTTACCTGATGCAGGATCGTAAGCCGAAGACTTATTGGAGTCGTCATCAATGGAAAGGTTTTTGGACTTCGGTTGAATGTTATGATCTTTAGGGTTCCCGTGTATGCCGGATCTTGACTCTGAACATCCAATCATATTGCTTGTTGGTGGTAATCTAGCTGACTGTGTATTACAGTCAACTTGCAACGAAGAAGATGCTAAAGTAAGATTCAAATGGCAGCAAATCTGGTCATCAACTTCCTCATTAGAAGTCAATGAATTTTGAAATGAGTTCAACCTCGGACAAGCAACTCCATTTGCTTTACTAGTTGAAGTTGAGTCCATCTTCAGTGTGAATGATGTTCCTGTATCTGAAAGCTCCACTGTCTCTGGGGCACATAGAGCATGAGCAGTTCTTATTTGCAAATCAATTGGCCATCCTTCAGACACTACCCTGTGCGGACTGCTGCTCCCATCTTCGTTTGAGCTTTGAGTGCTATGAGAAAGGAAAATAACATCTGAAACAGCTGGAGATAACTCCAGTCTCAGCTTATCTGAGAAATTTTGGTTACCGAACTCAGGTCTAGAACTGCTATGATTGTCTCCCAAGATAGTCTCATCCACAGGTGACGAATGCTCTTCTACTAGAGGTAATCTTCTTTTCTTTGTATATGCTGAGAAATCCATGGACTCGAGTTTTTTAGCAAGGCATTCAACAAATTTAGGATTATTGATATGCTTTTTGAAGTATCCCAACAATTGTTCTTGTCTTTGCTCCATATTAGCAACCCGCCGAGTTAGTTGTTCAACCTGTAGTTTTGCTGTGGAATGTTGCTGTCTGAATGTTAAGATGCTGGCCTCAAGTGTGCTCTTCTCAAGAGTAAGCTTATCAATTTGTTCTACAAATGCAGCTCTCTCTGGATCTATTGCAGAACCTGGAGGATGACTATGGCTATGAATGGGTTTTCTGCGGTGAATATTCTTTAGGAGATGCTTTTGGCCTCTCAAAAATTCATCATTTGCAAATTCCCATCTTTCAGGATCAATCTTCCGGAAACCCTAGGAGAGAAGACAGAGAAGTTTTAGTGTTAGTCTAACTTTGTGTAATTGCAATGGGAATTAAGTGCCTCAATTGTGCAGGACCATTAACCAAAGCATTCTAACTGCATCATCCAGTAGAAATAGCATGCTTATAGTAAATAAATCAAGATATGAAACATAATTCAATGCAATTGCAGCAAGAAACAAAGTTTGAGGTCTACAACCAGGCAAGAGTAGTGTTGCAGCAGTAAACACAGTATCCAAACAGCTGCCATGGCACATATATATAAAATTGTGTTCAGAAACAATAAAGTTTGAGCGGATGCCAATAATCCATATATGTCAAAAACAGACACTGGTTATGGATGGGATGACAATGACAATATGACATGTAAGGCTCTAAGAAGCTTAAGTGGAGGTACAATCTTCAAAGCCAGATTTTAAGACCCTCAAAAAAGATGAAAGAGGTGTGAAATTTAAGGGTGGTTGCAATGGGAAATGATTTGAGGTTTAAAGCCAATTTGAACCCAACTTCAACCATTAAAATTGGGCGAGTTGGCAATTTTGTTTGAAGCTGGCTCTTCAAGTTAAAAGTTGGGTTTAAGAGGAGGAGAGGGTCCCACATGTCCCCATCTCTCTTACTTTTCTTTTTTTGCTTTAAATTTTTTATTATTTACATATAGTACTCTGTATTGTTTAATTTCATTAAAGAAAATCCCTCAAAAAAATCATTAAAGAAAAAATGTTATTTGATTAATTTAATAAAATATAATAATTTATCTTTTTAAATTTATTAAAATGTAAATATTTTGATAAAGTTGGGGTTGTAGGTTTATTGTTATAGGAATAGGTTTTTAAAAGTTAGTAGGTTTAAACTATTGATGTGGCGCTGATGTGGCATTGTTGAAGTTGTTTTTTTGGATTCATTGTTACAACCACCCTAATGGTCTAAGTTTTTACAATATCCAGACCACTGATATTTGTCTAACATCTATTGAAGATGCCTAAAACTGTTAGGAACATCTTCGTGAAACACACTTGCCAGTGCCATCGTGCAGGTGGAAGAGTCTATATGTTAGGTGACCATTTAGTAAAAAATTAAAAGTATGTCTATCATTCTATGATTAGCTAATTGACGCGCTGCAAGAATCGTTGAAGTTACACCTAATCAAAAAATGGATGCTATCCAAACGCATGCCATAAATTGAAGCAAAAGGCTTTTCTGGCAGCCTGAACGTAATTCATTAAGTGTTGTTCTCAAAGATCATAATGATAACCCAATTTTGTTTTTCTTCGAGTTGAATCTGATATTGATATTTTCCCTCTGAGCAAGATTGGCTACTTGTTATTGTTTAGTCAAGTCTTTAACTACTTATAGTTGTATACGGGTAATGGGCAAATTTCATGGTACCTGAACTTTGGACAATTCTTCAATTAAGTACCTAAACTCAATTTTCTATCAAAAATACACCTGAACTTTACCAAATCTTTCAAGAATTTTTTTTAGCACATTTCAGGTACAGGTCATTTTGATATGCAATCAGATAGGAATGCAAGATGGGTCACATGGGTGCGATCATACCAGAACTAATACCCGTCCAACTCGCCTTCCACCTAAGCAAAATGACGGGTAGATGACATAAAACCTGCTTAAATCATTTTGTTGAAAGATTTGGCAAAGTTCAGGTATTTTTATAGAAAATAAAGTTTAAGAACTTATTTGAAAAAACGTCCAAAGCTTAGGTACCACCAATGAAATTTACTCATGGGTCATTGGTTGGAATGAGGAAGTAGTTTTGGACTTCAGAGAAATAATTTTCCTGACAAAGTCTATCGCCTCCTTGTGTGCCACACGCAAGAAGGGTTAATTAATTTCCATCACCATAGTTGCTCCTGCGAGGCGAGAAGGGTTTCCATCATCATAGTTACTTCTTCACTAAGGGTTGATGCACATTATGCTCTCCTCTTTCTAAATGCAGAGGACATTAACCTAGAACACACATACACTAAACCTTACATCCTAAAGAAATACTTATCTAGACATCTATGTCTAGCAATACTCCGAGTATTCTACGGAGCATGCTAGTCTGCTCCATAATGAACATGCTGCGAAAATGGACCATCGAGGGGAAATCAGAGTCACCACGCATCGATGCTCTAGGTGTACCGGATTTGAATCGAAATACACCCAAAAGAACATATCTATGGTCGTATTGGTAAGGGAAGTATATTTATATACACATCAACTGTAGTTTTGGAATGTGGGATTCAACTATGTTTGAAATTCATTTTTAAAAAATTGCATCTGATATTCCTTGGAGTCTCTAAAATTTTATAGGGTTTCAAACCATATTCAAAAAAATTGAACTCGCTATAAGCACTGGACCTCCAAGATGTTGATTTATTGATTTATTGCCAAAGTGAATTTTCTAGGTTAGCTTATACTCCCTCCGTCCCGGAATCATTTTCCATGTTTGACTTGGCATGGTTTTTAATAAATTGCAAAGTGGGTGGTTGTGGTTTGTGTAGAAGAAAGAGAATTCATATAGACCACATACTTCTTTTGGGACAATCCAAATAGGAAAGAAGAAAGATAATTATGGGTCGGATGGAGTATGTTCAGAATTGCATCATTTATGTTGCCCTGTTTTGCTTTTTTTAACATCTGAAATAGTATACGTATTGTCAGCGGCTTCTTAGATTGGATCCTACTGCTTGAGAATTGAATTTTGCACTTTCTTGTGGAGATTATATGCGATTTTGATATCAATCTTTTGGAGCACTGAAATTAGCGTTCGATGAGGCAACAAACTGTATCATTGATCCTATTTGATATACCACTCTACAAATTTAGCCAGTTTGCTCCTTGATCTAAATTCAATTTTAAAATTTGAATCTATTTTGTCCTTCATATTGAATTGATGTTGAGCCGCATCACATGTCTCATTTAAAGCCTTGTCTTTTTGAGTGCTATTGACCCGGTTACATTGTAGTATCTGTTCATACTTTCTCAACCTAATGACACACCGTGAGCCAATGCCTCTGCTTCGGATGGGACTTGAACCTAGGTGAGCTTCCCCATTAATCTTGGGGAGTGGACTTCCTACCACTCAAGCCAAAGGAGAAGTTCTAAAGCATTGTCTATTACTACTTCAGTTACTATTTCAGACATAAAACACAACAAAGCAAGGCAAAATAAATGATGCAATTCTGAGCATATAAAAACCTGGAAAATGCACTTTGGCAATAAATTTACAACATTGAGATCTAGCGCTCATAGTGAGTTCAAAAGATCTGCAAATATGGTTTGAAACTCTATTAAATCTTACAGGCTCCAAGAAGATCAAGCACAAACTTTTAGAATGAACTTCAAGCTTTGTAGGACTGCCAGATTCTAGAGCTACCATTGTTGTCTTTGTACTTCCCGTGCTAATAAGAGAAAGAGATGTTATTTTGGGTATGTTTCAATTCAAATCTGGTACACCTAGAGTTGGCTAGCGTGAAAGACCAGTCCTTGCAATTCCACCGACCGGTTTTTTCGATTGATACAGAAAATTCATACACATCAGCCTTACTCACTAAAATAGCCTTAGACATCCTTTTTCCCTCTCCATGCACACTGGTATTGAGCCGCGCACGGATTTCTTAACTTGCAGGTTCAAAAAAGATTAGCTTATTTCTTGATTATACCCACCACTTCCCAAATTTCTCTCTACCACTTACCATTCATCATCTAGGGAAAAAGATGCCTGTTTAACATAGCTAAAATAACACAAACCCGAAATTCGATTCCCATTTTTAGAGGCAGGACATACTAAGTAATGAATTTCATTGTAGCGTCACTCTAATCCTAAAAACATAAACTTAGATCCTCCACAACTTATACGCAGACACAGGTATTTCCTGGTTTCGAATTTCAGGAATAAATCAATTAGAAGCAAAATTGGGAAGAAGCGCGAGAGGATTGACATACATAGGTGTTGAGCTGACGAATGAAGCTTGAGAAATTGTTGTGCTTGAAGTAGGTCGGGAGGAGAAGACGCGAAAATTCCGGAGGGTTCCAAACAACAAAGCTATGGCCGCTCGGGGTCCACTGCACTATGTGATCGGTGTTCGAGTCGTCCAACATTTCATACGTCTTCAGAAGGAAAGGAGCCGGACCGCCGTTGCCGGTGCCGGCGCCGCCGCCCCCTACGGCCGCCATCAGCGCGACTCCATCCATTTCGGTCGACTTTTGATCGGATAGTCAATGAGAGAAAGAGGAAAGCGTCGGTCTATGGGTGTATGAACTATGAAGTTTAAGTCAACTGTACACGCATTTAGTGACCAGAGGGAAATACCATAAGCACGCGCTAAAGAGATGGCGCTTACGAGATGAGACCGAATTAGAAAAGGATGAGCCAATCCCGAGGGCTTCTAGACTCGATTTTAGGGTTTAGATTTTGATCTAAAGAGTTATGCTTCTACTTGGTACAGAGGTTAGGAATCAAATTTGAGTCTTATTTCTTTGGCATTTCTTGTCTTTGTCAATTGTGCAACACTAACCCACTGATGAACCTAAAATTAGATTCTTGCCTAAATACTTCAATCATAAAATGTAAAAAAAAATATTAAAAAATAATACTCCTTCCGTCCAAGAATAATCTTCCTATTCTACCTTTTTTCCCGTCCGAAAAAAATCTTTCTACTCTACGTTTTCATACCCTCTCTTCCAAAAATACCCCTCTCATTAAATCTCACCCATTATTCCTAACTACACCCCTCCCCCCCTCATTGAATGTATCGTCAACCGTCCTCATTCACTCCTCCCCTCTCCCTATCTTATCCGATCACAATCTCCATATCCTCCTCAAACCCTTCACATCTTCCGATCTGAACTCTTCATTTTCTCTATCTCCAAACTCAACTGCTTCGTCTCCTAGATCTGCAATGGATTCGTACGATTTGCGCTTCGAATCCATTATCCCGGAGACACAATTTGAGGATATTGGAATTGATGATGGGGATTTCATCTCTGACAAGGTGGAGGACGAGGTCATCGTCATCGCCAGCGACGACGATATGGCCAATGTTGCCCCGGTCAGAGAGAGGAAGGACGTTGTCCTTCTTGAATCTCAGAAAGACACTGTTTTTCTTCTTGGGAGGGAGGAGCCTAACTTCGTTGTTCTAGACGGTGATATTGATGATGCTGATTGGTGCGAAAAAAGTGAGATTGAGCCTACTCAGGCAATAAACTCACGCATGCATCTCCCCATCGATATCCTGAACATCTTGCTCCCATGTCCTGATCCACATTTTTGGGCTTCACAGTACAAGTGGGGAAGTTCCTTTCACATCCTTAAATTTTTAAATTTTCCTTGCAATTAATCACAATTAAATGTTCC